AATCCTACAAAGATACCTCTGCAATTCCCAAGAAGTTGGCTCGATCTCAAATTGCAGAACACAATTTTCTCCAGGTCAGTTTGGCTGGAGATCCTGGAGGTTTTTTTGGTCATCTTCTGGGTGTGGAACAGCGACCACTGGGGGGGTGGAGGGGGAAGTATTTGTGAAGTTCCTGAATTGTGCAGGGGGGTTGGACTAGATGATCCTGGAGGTCCCTCCCAACTCTACGATTCTATAAAATATCTGACTGTGACAGTGCATAATCATAACATTATTCAGAGTGGGAATTGGAAAAAGTGCAGAAAAGGGCAACTAGAATGATAAAAGGGTTGGAACACGTTCCCTATGAAGACAAGTTAAGGCGCTTGGGGCTCTTTAGCTTGGAGAAACGACGGCTGAGAAGTGACATGATCGAGGTTTATAAGATTATGCATGGGATAGAGCAGGTCGAGAAAGAAGTACTATTCTCCCTTTCTCACAACAGAAGAACTCGTGGGCATTCCATGAAATTGCTGAGCAGTCGGATTAGAACGGATAAAAGGAAGTCCTTCTTCACCCAAAGAGGGATTAACACTTGGAATTCACTGCCACAGGGGGTGGTGGCAGCTAAAAGCATGGACGGCTTCAAGAGGGAACTGGATAAGCATATGGAGCAGAGGTCCATCAGTGGCTATTAGCCACAAGGTATAGATAGGAACTCTCAGGCTGGGGCATGTGATGCACTGCCTTCTTGATGCTTGGAGTGGGGGCAACAGTGGGAGGGCTCCTAGTGTCCTGGACCCACTGCTAGACCTCCTGATGGCCCCTGGTGTTTTTGGCCACTGTGTGACACAGAGTGTTGGACTGGATGGGCCATTGGCCTGACCCAACATTGGCTTCTCTTATGCTCTCTTATGTTCTCATGACATGCAGAAAAGAACTTCTGGGGGCCAACTGCAGCCTGGCCACGCAGTGTTACCTGGATCAAGACGAGGAGGCTGGCCAGGAAGATGAAGGTCATGTTGAAGCCCAGGAGCTCCAGCAGGGAGACGGCCAGGCAGCCCTTCTCGCTGCACTCCTCCACCGCTGCACGGGGAGAGTCAAGGAAAGGGGTCCAGCCAACCCGCCAAGCCCTCGCACAGGCGGGACTCCAGCCTCCCTGACCCCAGCCACCCTGCACGCCAGGCTGAGCAGAAGCTCCTGGGCTTTGCTCCAACAGTCGGGCAGGGCGGGCTGCATAGACGGAGCCACTCAAAGCCAGAAGGCTCGTGACGATGACACCCAAGCCGCTCCCCCACCCACGGGGGCCTGGCAAGAGCTCCCGAGCACAGAGAGGATACAGCTCTGTACCACCCGGAACTTGAGCTGGGAGAAGAGCCGGACGAAGAAGTCCACAAAGAGGCCCACCTGCAAGAGAAGAGACAGAGGGCTCCCGTGAGCGGCCTCACAAACGCCACTCTGGGCATCTGGCGACTGGACGGATCCAGACTGCTTTTTCGCTCACGCAAGGCACTTCTGTCAGCGGAACGGAAGCAGGCCTACTAAGCCCACCTCTGAGATGCTGCTTCTGGGAGACAGGGGACCCTCGGGAATGGCATAAGAGTCTGGTGTTGGCAGCTGGAAGGCAGAACTGGTGGATCCCTGAACCTTGATGGGCTGGGCTAGCCCAGTTTCACCACCTCTTGGAAGCTCAGCAGGTTCAGCCCTGGTTAGTCCTTGGATGGGAGACCACCAAGGAATACCAGGGGTCCGTACGCAGAGGCAGGCAAGGGCACTCCACCTCTGTTCCTCTCTTGCCCTGACCCGGATAGCCCAGGCTAGCCCGATCTCAACGGAAGCTAGGCAGGGTCGGCCCTGGTTAGTACTTGGACGGGAGACCACCAAGGAAGTCCAGGGTCCGTACACAGAGGCAGGCAATGGCAAACCGCCTTTATTCGTCTCTGGTCTTGAGAACCCCATGAGGGGGGTCGCCACAGGTCAGAAACAACTTGATTGTACGTCACACACATTTCCGTTCACTTAAAACTAAGGCAGGATCCAACCCAATTGCTCCCCCGCCCCCCGCCCAGGTACATCCTGCATAAAGACGACAAAAGAAACACAGACCTTTGACAGACACGAAAAGAAACTAGACGTCAGCCACTGTTTTCGCTTATGGTGGCCGACTGGACAGCTTTGCCATCTTATGGGTGTTGTTATTTGAAATGGTCTGAATTGTTTGTAATTTGTTATTTTATTGTTTTATTATTTATGAAGCCAATACGGTCTTGTCAGCCGCCCGGAGCCTGCCTCGGCAGGGAGGGGGGGTATAAGTCAAATAAGTAAGCAAGTAAATAAATAACTAAAGCACCTTACCAGCCCTGTACAAACTCCAATAGCAAAGACCATCACCCACTTCACTGCTTCGTACCGCCGGGCTCTCTGTAAGGGCGGAGGAGGAGAAAAAAAGGTTTACACACGTGTCGGAAGTGGCATACCAGCATCACAGGAAGGTCTGCATCAGCATAAGCCATTTCATCTACGCAGGGGAAGTCTGCACAACCCTGAGCTAAACCTCTGATTCGCTCAGTTAACTTTATTTACTCTTTTTTTAAAAAATTAAACCTCTACATCTCGTGGTGTGGTGCTGCCTGGCCCATCTCTCCAGCCCAAGGCTCCACTGTTCCTGGTGTTCAGCCTCTGCCCTGAAGGCCAGAAACACGTTTTCCACACCAGGGTTCATCCCCACCGCTTGTGGACTCAGAAGAGCCTACACAGAGCGCCTTTCCCTCAATCTGCCCCCCGGCAAACAAAATTCTCTGTGCCCGGCTAGGCGCCTGGCATGCCACACTCCCCATGACTCGCATTCCACTATTCATACACCTCCACATTCAGCACCAGCTGACCAGCGAACTGGCATCCCTCCCAGACAATTGGCAGCTCCCAGCCAAAAGTGCAGGGGATTACTCCAACCAGGGGTGTGGAATTTTTTTTTTTTTACTGGTATTTTTTGGTTCAGGTCTACAGTTCAGTCTGGTCTGGTATTTGGATCTGGGTTTTTTTTGGAAATCCTGACATTTTTGGGGTCCAATAGACCAGAACCAAAAAATGCTGGTAAAGAAGAAGAGATTGGATTTATAACCCAACTTTCACTACCTGAAAGAGTTTCACAGTGGCTTAAAATCCCTTCCCCTCCCTACAACAGACACACTATGAGGTAGGTGAGGTTGAGAGAGCTCTCTCCAGAACTGCCCGTGAGAGAACAGCTCTGAGAGAACTTATGACTGACCCACGGTCACACCAGCAGCTGCATGTGGAGGAGTGGGGAATCAAACCTGGTTCTCCCAGATTAGAGTCCACGCTCTTAACCACTACACCAGAAATACCAGCCCAGTCCAGGGGCTGGCTTGGCTTCTCTTGCCACCCACTTTAAACTGGGTGGCAGGGGTAGGCAGTGGAGATCTGTGCCGGGGAGCTCTGAACTCCCCAACGACTCAGGTGATCTTGAGCTGGCTTCTCTTGCAGCCCAGTTTAAACCAGCCTGCAGCAGCAGGGAGCTCTCAGCTTCCCGCCACCCCGGCTGATCCTTGGGCTGACCTCTGCATTCCCTTCAAAGTTTAAAAGGACCAATTAAGCCCACCCGACAAACAGCTGATTTGTTTTCAGATTGACCCAAAATCCCTGAATATATCTAGGATTTTCTTGGGATTTTTTCCTAGTTTCCCCAAGAAAACCCAGACACATTTGAGAAGCCGAAATACACCTGAAAAATACCTATTAGGTATTTTGGGGGTATATTTTCGGCTCGGGAAGATCTGAATGCACACCCTTAATACCCACCATTTCCTCCTCCTCTGAATTACTGAAACAGAAGGCAGCAATATGTCCTACCCTGTTATCTAGACTTTCCAGTACTTCCAAGTAGGGTTCATTGATGCAGCGGTCGTAGTCCAAGCTCTAGAAGAAGGCAAAACAAACACCCAACCATGAAACCACCACATTCACGTGAGAGGAGAGAGATTCCCATGAGTGAGAAAAGATGGGGATACATTCACGCCGGCCCTGGCACACAGAAGACATTTGCCCTGACGTGAGTTTCAGCAGCCAAGCACGTCTCCTCTCAATTGACAAAAAGACTGAACGGGGGCCAGAAAAGCTCAACGGCAGAACTCCTCCACAGAGGCATCTAAACAACTGTTCACCTGGCACCAGCAAGTGGCCAAAAGTGGGGTTCACACACTGGAACAGAGCGGAGGACTGTTGTTTCTCGGAGACCTTCAAATGAGCCACACATGATTGAGGCTGGCTTTCTGCATGTAAGCAAGGAAACGTGACACTGGGTGCCACCAACCTCCCTGGACCTCTTGGCAGGGTGACCTGTCGCCAGCCTCTGAACGTGCTCTGAGTAAAGTGGTGAGACAACAACTAGTCTTGCCTTAACACAGGAAGAAAAGCTGAGGGGGGTCCCCCCAAACAATTCATCCTTAATAGGGATGGGCCTGAACCGGCTGACACACTGAAGTTCATCATGAATTTTGGCTGGTTCGTAGTTCACAAAGCAATGATCGCAAACCGAGGAACTGCCACAAGCTTCCATGAATTTTGGGGCCATTCGTGGTGGTTTGTGAAGAACACAAATCATGAAAAATAGCTCTGCTATTTGGTTTAAATGGCTTGGAGCCATTAAATGGCTTGGTTTAAATGGCCTGGAGCCATCTAAACTCAGCTTTCTGCTCCCCGTGAAAAACCACAGGGAGCAGAAAGCGGGGTTTAAACTTTAGATGGCTCATAAACTCACATGGGTTCATGATTCAGTTTGTGGTTCAGCAACATACCACGAACCAACCAACCCCTATAAAAGAAGTCACAGAAATACACACACGCACACTCACTTAATCCACCATCACCCCCAGCATCCACTCAACATCTCAGAGCCCCTCACCTCATAGTCCTTACGTGGGAGAATCTCTTCATCTTCCTCCTGAGTTTCTCCAAGGATGGTCTAGGAAGGAAATTCAAGACTGATAAGCCAGGCTAAGTCAAACTACGTTGGAGACAAGTTTGCTCATTGCTAATTGAGAGCCAGCGTGCTGTCGTGGTGAGACCATCGGACTACCATCTGGGAGACCCAGGTTTGAATCCCCATTCTGCCACCAAAGCTCGCTAGGTGACCCTGGGCCAGCCACACACGCTCAGCCTGACCAGTGTTCCCTCTAACCTGAGTTAGTGTGAGCTGGCTCACAGTTTTTTAGCCTCTGGCTCACACATTTTTATCTCAGCTCAGGAAGGATGGGGCTCCAGAGCAATCTAATTTACGCAGGAGACAAATCGCTCACTCACAACTTTAATGCCAGTTGCTCACAAAGTAGAATGTTTGCTCACAAGGCTCCACAGCTTAGAGGGAGCATTAAGCCTGACCAGGGTTGCTGTGAAGATCAAACAGAGGAGAGGAGAAGGATGTTGAGCTGCTTCAGGTTCCCATTGGGAAGAAAGGCAGGATACCAAGAAAGCAAGTCATAATGATAATAAGAATCCAGCCCAGAAGCAAACAAAAAGGATTTCCAGACACCTTCGGTCATTCATACTCCATCAGCTGAGGAAGCCCTGCAGGCCTGTTGTTGGGCCTCAAGTTTCACAGAGTCAGAGGCACAGTGGGTCAAAGACCTACTGTGGGTCAGTCACCTACTGTGCATGCAGGAAGTCCCGGCTTTGCCTTCTGACTTCTCGAACTCCCTGCCAGGCAGCTTAGAGGGAACAACTGCCTAGGACCATCTGGTCCTAGGCAGTGTTCCCTCTAAGCTGAGTTAGTGTGAGCTAGCTCACAGTTTTTTAGCCTCCGGCTCCCACATTTTTGTCTTCACTCAGGAAGGAGGGCTCCAGAGCAAACCGATCTCTGCAGCAGCCAAATCGCTCGCTCACAACTTTAATGCCAGCAGCTCACAAAGTAGAAGTTTTGCCCACAGGACTCCACAGCTTAGAGGGAGCATTGATCCCTGGTATCTTCATTTAAAAAGGACCGGGCAGTATATGATGGGAAGGACCTCAGCCAAAGACCCTGGAGAGCTGCTGCCAGTCTGAGTAGACGATACTGACTTTGATGTACCAGAGTCTGATTCAGTATAAAGCAGCTTCATGTGAAATCTGATTACCTGTCCAGAGAAGAAATACTTCCTTTTGTTTGTCTTGAATTGATTCTCCTTAGTTTCATCGGGTGCCTAGTATTATGGGGAAAGTACAGAAAGTTCTCTCCATCCTCTTTCTTCACTCCATGGATAATTTTACAAACTTCTATCATGTCCTTCTTGGTCGTCTTCCTTCCTAAACTAACAGTGCAATCCTAAACAGATTTACTCCAGTCTAAGCCCGCTGAAATCAAGGGGCTTAGACTGGAGTGACTTTTCTTAGGATCCCACTGCGAATGTTCCAAAGTCTTCTGGCTTTTCCTTAATCTTCTCAATTGCCCCTTCTGCATTTATTGCAGCTTTGCAATAGCTGCTGTTCTTAACATGCAGGAAGGAGAAGGCTTAGAGAAAATGCATTCGTTACTTTGAGCACTAGTCGTGAGAACGCACCCTTTCACCTCATTCTGCCGCAGGGAGGGAGTCCTTTGAATTTACAAACGCATGACGCTGTCAGACTATCAGTCTATCCCTGCCCGGCACCTCCTGTCTAGCCAGCTGCGCTCTCCAAGGTCTTAAGCAGAGACAGATCTTTCTCTTACTCCTGAGACCCTTTTCATTGGAGATGCTGCAGATGGGGCCAGACGCATGCAAAACACGTACTCTCCTGTTCCCCCCAAATCACCAATGAGTCACAACAAAAAGGCAGTGAAGCACTGCAGACGATAAACGGCGGCGGCACCAAGAGAAGAACAGGAAAGCGGGGAAGAGTAGCCACGACGCCAAGAGGCCCCTGGATCTGAAGGCAAACAGCTCCACACTACCAAGATAAACGGAGATGCCCAGGAAAGGGAGGCGGCGACGGGAAAGCAGACTGGCTGGCCCAGGCCTGCCAAGGAAATGGAGCATGCCCACAGCGCTGGTAACGTCGACCCCATCTGCATTTTAACAAAAGAGCTGCAGTTTCAGCAACACTATGGCTTTGCCAAAAGCCACTGATGCTCACTTAAAAAAAAAAAAGCCACCCTTCACTCTGCAACCTTGTTTATTGCTCAAGCACCTACGCTGGGGCTACCCTCTTGGCTTTGCCACCCTGTGGATCTCCCTGCCTTAAGGGAGCCATACATCAAGGCAGGCAGCTGGGATCCTGCACCTTTCCAAGCCACGTGGAAGAAAGGGTGTTTGGCAGGAGAGAGGAGAAGCTGCATCTGCCGGGATGTTCTCTTCTGCAAAACTCTGAGTCAGGCGTGAGCCTGGCCCATCTCCACAGTTCACCAGCCACTGGCGTTTCTCAAAGAAGCTCCATGGTTCCCATCCTAGCCTGTGGCTAAGAGAATGTCACGATTTGCTTAATCCACGTTCAACAAATTTCCATTAGGGGTTATATCTTTGTATATGCGTCGCACGTGCATTACATAGGCAACCATTTTGGTGCATGTGAGGAAGGGGCTGAATCTTGAGTGGGTGGCTGTCCGTCACTAACGTTTCTCAGCAAACGTACTTATACCTAAGGGAAAATAAAGCTAAATAACCAGCGACACCGAGAGCGCCTTAAAACCTGTCAGACGGTTCTAGTCCCCCCTTCACCCCCTTCCCCACAAAGCAATTCCTACCCCCACACTTCTACATGGGGGCATCTAAAACATGCATGCACATAAAAAAGGACTGTGGATCACTGCTAGGGGTGGGGTGGGGTGGGGCAGAAGAGATGGGCACTGGGGAGGGCTGGAAAAGCACTCTGACTAGGCTCAACGGCACCCTTCCCCCTCCATCGCTGCCTGCCCAATATTGTGAGTCACCAAGTGACGCTTTTCCTGGCACTCAGTCCCGTCAGGGTAAGGTCCCCCTGTGAGGGCTCCCAATCCAGTCCTGTAAGAGCACACCCCGCCCCCGCCACCCCCTAAATTTGTTTCCTTGAACATGCTGGTTCCCACGACAGATTTTATAGGTTTAAAGGGAAAAGGTGGTTTACAGAACAGAGATAAGGAAGGGCCCTCTGCACGTCCTCAGAAACACTCCCCCCCTTGTGCCATACAGGGGCATCTATTCTACACGCAAACCCTATGCTGTTTAATGGGTCTCTGACCGTAATAAAAAAATAAAAAATAAAATAATAATACAAGCAAACCCAAAATTGGCCCCGCAGGGGAAAAAAACACCCGAAGTTACCAATATTATTTTTATTACCGTTATTTATGCTTCCACGTAAATGGACATATGTTAAAAAGGGGGGGTTAGTTATAGTTCTTCGCTACAGACGACCGACGCGGGCACTCTGCACATGCCCAGAGGCATCCCTGCCTAGCCAACCTAACAGGGGGAGGGCAAAGGACGTGGAGCACAGTGACATCCCGCCCCCCTCGCCCGCCTTACCAGCTCCTCCGGGGTGCGGCTGTCCCTCTCCCCGCAACAACAGCCGCAGCACCCCGCCCCGCATCCCGCCGCCATCTTTCTCCGCTCCGCCGCCTCCCTGAGAGGGTCGGAGCCAGCCAGCCTTCGTGCGCGTGCGCGGCACCTGACAGCCCCCCCCACACTTTTCTTCTATAGAATTTGACGGGCCTGACCGGAAACAGGAAGTGGTATCCAAGGCAACGGCGTCGCGAACCCTGGAAGAAGGGCGGAAGTTGGCGGTAAGGGACCGGAACCGCCCGAAGACGGGCAATGAGCTGAGAGGAATGAATCAAGAACGTGCACATTATTCGAAATGGCATCTCGACCTCGGTGTTGTTTGCCCTAAAACAATTAATTTTAAAAGTCCAGCTTTTTTTTTTTGGGGGGGGGGGTTGTTTTAAATCCAGAACCTCCTACCAGAGCACCCTTTTCAATGGAGGCGCCAGAGATGTATGTGCTTTTATGCCCCAGCGCTAGGGCTGCCAGCCTCCAGGTGTGACCTGGAGATCTCCAGCCAAGAGATCAGCTGCCCTGGAGAAAATGGCTGCTCTGAAGGGTGGACTCAATGGTATTGTACCATGCTGAAGCCCCTCTCCTCTCCAAACCCCGCCCTCTCCCGGATCCACCCCCAAAGTCTCTAGGTCCGGGTGTCAAACTCATTTGGTAGGAGGGCCGGATCTGACATAAATGAGACCTTGTTGGGCCGGGCCATGTGTGTCATAAAATGCAATATCAGGTAGCGGAGATATAAACTTTATAAAGGACACAAACACAAAGGAGCTCTTTTTTTTACTTAAAATAAAAACATGCTTAAAACTTTAGCATTCTTGCAATATTTTATTTAACAGTGTCTGATGAATTATTGCATCAAAATGTCTCTGCTGTTGCAATCTTGAGTATGCTGTTCAGGTCTGTATCTGTAAGCTGCAAACCTACAAAGATGCAGGAGCAGCAGAACTGGAAGAAGCAGCAGAAGACAGCCAGTTCCACTGCGGGACTGATAGAAGCCCTCCGGGGGACTGATCCAGCCCTCGGGCTGCATCACCCCTGCTCTAGGTATTTTCTAACCCAGACCTGGCAACCCTACCCAGCGCATTTCACACCCAAATGGTAGAAGAAGGGAGGGTTAAAATGCCAGTAAATGTGATCTTAGTATTTGTAAATAAATTAAAGTGATATCGCTTGCTACACGTATTGACACCTTTTAGACAGAATTTGACAGTTGCTTGAACGAAGGTCTTTCCTAAATCAGCATCCTGAAACAGTAAGAGTAAATGGACTGCTACATAATTTAATAAATGGAATCCTTTTATTAAAAATATATATCCTTTGAGAAGGCAGACAGCTCCGTTTTACAGACCCTGCGGAATTGTAACAAGTTTGCTACAGATCCATCGCTGGCTGTTGATGCACCGTGTAGAGTTGACCTCTTTGTCATTCAGGTAGGCGCAGAGACCATTGCCTCCTATTGGAAACCTACAACACAATCACCCCAAAGTCAGTATTATGCTGTGACGCAGAGCAGACAAACAGCCCTTCGGGGATAGATAACTCTTTCATCACTACCTTTCACTGACACGCACTTAAAGTCTCACCCATCCTTCTGACTTTCCCATGGAGTCTCAACCTGTGCGCTCTCTCTCTCTGCTTTCAGCAGGGGCCCGGCCAATGAAGAAGAAAAGGAGATTGGATTTATACCCCGTCCTTCACTCGGAGTGGCTTACAATCTCCTTCCCCTCCCAACAGACACCCTGTGAGGTAGGTGGGACTGAGAGCGCTTTTCAGGACTGCTCTTGAGAGACCAGCTCCAAGAGAACTTGTGACTGACCCAAGGTCACACCAGCAGCTGCAAGTGGAGGAGTAGGGAATCAAGCCCCATTCTCCCAGATTAGAGTCCACACACTTTAACCACTGGCTTGGTGAACCCCTTTGGGCTCTTCTTGCTCCCCCATCCACTCCACAACCACTCATAGGAAAAACTTCCATTCTCCCAAGAAACTCTCTTAAAAGCAAAGACCCTCCCCTAACATCTATCCCCCCCACACACAAAGAAAACCAAAAATAACAAGGTTATTAAGGGATAGAAACTCGAAGGCCATCTTATAAACCCAATCATCCACCTCTCCACTGAAGAAAAATCTTTTATCAACTGGTGCCCGAATTCTTAGTCAATGGGTGAAGAGGAAGCCTCTCTAGAAACAGAAACATAGAGCTGGAAGGGACCTCGGGGGTCACCTAGCCCAACCCCCTGCACAAAACCCTCACGGGGCCCTGGGCCAATTTGGCCTGGAGGAGAATTCCTTCCTGACCCCAAAGTGGCGAGTGGCATTACCCTGGGCATAGAAGAAAGGCCCACGAGAGCCAAGCACAGACTCATCACTCTTCCTCTCATGATCTGCCAACATTCATAGCGAGTCATAGAACCAGCAGTGCCTTTGCAAGTGCTCCCCAGGGCTGTATTATCCATAAGGCTGACTAGGCTGAAGCCGAGGGGCCCTGCAGGGACTAGAGGCCCATCCATATCTTTTTTGCTGAGGCACCGTTATTTTCTCTTCATTGTTGTTGTTCAGTCGCACAGTCGAGTCCGACTCTTCGCGAACTCATGGACCAGATCACGCCAGGCCTTCCGGTCTTCCGCCGTCCTCTGCCATTTCTCTTCATAGGCAGCCTGTAATATATGACCTCTATTAATAAGATAATTAACTGCTTCCTTATTGCAGTGAAACAAATTGTTTCTTATAGTAAAACAATTATCCATTTATATATACATACATACATACATATATGTGTGTGTGTGTGAGTATGTATATAATAAAGAGAATAAGAGATTGGATTTATACCCCGCCCTTCACTACCCAAAGGGGTCTCAGAGCAGCTTGCAAACTCCTTTCCCTTCCCCTCCCCACAACAGACACCCTGTGAGGTAGGCGGGGCTGAGAGAGCTCTTGACAGAAATGGCTCTTTTTCAAGAACAGCTCTTATCAGAACTACGGCTTACCCAAGGTCATCCAGCAGCTGCAAGTGGAGGAGTGGGGAATCAAACCCGGCTCTCCCAGATGAGAGCCCGTGCACTTAACCACTACACCAAACTGGCTCACTTCACTTCAAAATATTACAATATTGTACCCCCAAAATGTGCTTTCCTGAAGTGTTCTAATCAATCGATACAAATATATATTAAAATTGTGAACAGAATTCTTCAAGCATCGCTGGTTAAGACGCTGAACTGCAGGCTGTGGAAGGTCGGTAGTTCAGCAGTTCGAGACCCGAGTGTGCCGCACGACGGAGTGAGCTCCCGTCTCTAGTTCCAGCTCCTGCCAGTCTAGCAGTTTGAAAGCAAGAAATTGCAAGTAGATAAATAGGTACCACTTTGGTGGGAAGGTAACCGCGATCTGTGCGCCTTGGTGTTTAGTCCTGCCGGCCACATGACCACTGAAACGTCTTCGGACAGCGCTGGCTCTTCGGCTTTGAAACGGAGATGAGCACCGCAACCCTAGAGTCGGACTCGACTGGCTTTCGAGCAAGAGAAACCTTTACCTTTACTGCAGTCTAGTACCTGCCGTACCGGGATCAGGCTGTCAGCTGTGGTGGGGTGAAAGACTGAACTGCCAGAGGGGCCCTGACATACCTGAAAGCCTGGGGGCCCGGCCATGGATTAATACGCCCCTGGTTCTCCCCCCCTCCCCACCCCCTCTACTTTGCCAAAGTTCACAAGACTTACCAGTTGCTGAAGAGGGACCCATCCGGCTGCTTCCAGGGCTCTCTGACTCCCTCTCTCCGGAGGCCGATCCAGTAACCAGCCAAGCCTTCCGAGCTCATGACAAAATCCTTTCAAAAATGCAGATGTCTTCTCTTTTAAAATAAGCTCATAAGCCCTGTACATAAATGAATTCCCTCCGTATTCAGACACACCCCTCCCCATCACCCGATTTTAGCCAGTGGACAGAAGGAAGGTACTCCCCCTCCCTTCGCTCTACCAGGGCAACACAACTAGCCTGCAGAGCTTCTGGTCATGGGACTGTGAAGCTCAGTGTCACTGCAACCAGGGCTATTTCTGGGCAGGAACGCACAGGAATGGAGTTCCAGCTGGCTCCCAAGTTGGCCACACCCAGAAGGAACTCATTAGCATAACAGGCCACACCCAACAGCAGAAACTCATTAGGATTGGCTACATTACGGGTGTGTGGCCTAACATGCAAAGGGGGGTTCCTGCTACAAAAAACCCTGGGTTTTGACAATAAGGTAAACAAAATAAGAAGCAAAAGGTGGGTGTGGCTGGATGACCACACGTCTGGCAACATGGGGGTGTGGCCTAATATGTTAATATGATGCACTATCGGGTGTGGCCTAATATGCTAATGAGTTCCTGCTGTTGGGTGTGGCCTATTATGCTAATGAGTTTTGAAAGCCCTGATTGCGACCATTTCCTTCTTTGGAGGTCAAATGAATTAACAGAGAAACAGCCACAAGAGACTGGGCACAAGCACAGAAGTAGTTGCTGGCCATGTCCCGTACTGGGCTGTGTCTACCACCCCCTTATTTGTGGGAGAGGAGAGTTCTCGTGGCTGAACCAGAAAGAGATGGGGCATTCTTTGATGCACAGTGGTTCTAGTTGGCTAAACCCTGCACTGGTCACAAGCAGACCCCGGAGGAAGAGGAAAGGGTGCTCACGCGCTAGACTAGGACTAACCCACTGGATAGCCAGGGACAGGGGTCATTTAGTAGAAAAAGAGCTAGGGGGACTCATTAGCATAACTCATTAGCATATGCCACACCCCCTGCCATTGCCGGAAGTGTGTCATAAGGCCACACCTCCTGAACGGTCCCGGCCGCCGCCGCTGGCCTTGCAGCTCCACTGCCGAGCCCCATGACGGGCCCGGCGGTGGACCTGCAAGGCCGGCGGGAGTGCAAGGAAGCCCCGCGAAGGCCCTCCCTGGCCCCAGGCAGGCAGGGGTGGGGAGAGGCAGGGAGGAAGCAACTTACCCTCCCTCTTCTCCTGCCTCCTCCTGGCTGAATGAGGGCCGGAAGCGGGGCGGCCGGAAGCAGGGGGCGGGGCTTCGTCATGTGCCCCGCCCCCCGTACCTCACCCAGGGGAACTGCGATCCCCCGCGTTCCCCCCCGAAATGACCTCTGGCCAGGGATACAAACATGAAACTGCCTTACGGTGAACCATCAGTGTCAATATTGTCTAGTCAGACTGGCAGCAGCTCTCCAGGGTCTTAGCCAGAGGTCTTTCCCATTACCTCCTGCCTGGTCCTTTTTAACTGGAGATGCCGGGGACTGTACCTGGGACCTTCTGCATGCCAAGCAGAGGCTCTGCCACTCAGCCACACATGAATAAACATGAAGCTGCTTTGTACTCAGTTAGACCTTTGGCCCATCTAGTTCAGTACTGTCTACTCAGACTGGCAGTAGCATTCCAGGGTCTCAGGCAGAGGTCTTCCACATCCCCTCCTACTTGGTCCTTTTAACTGGCGATGCCTGGGATTGAACCTGGCACCTTCTGCATGCCAAGCAGATGCTCTACTGCTGAGCCACAGCCCTTCCCAGATGTCTTAAGGCAGTTATTAGATCTAAAGCCAAAAGTAAACCATTCCACCTTGGGATGAAAGGCTGCGGATTAAAAGTGCTCCTCGCCATTTCAGGAAACCAGCGTTCCAGGGACTGCGCCCAATCCAGGATTATCTCAAGGCTGTGGAGTGGATCAGACTGTAAGGGACACTGGGCTCTGTGGATCTGAGGGATCCTCTTGCTTACAGACCCCCTTCAGCTACCAAGACTTCCACCTTGCCTGGCTTCATCTTCAGCTGCCTTGCCCGAACCCTGGCTCCTCCAAGCCTCGCCTGGCAGCCCCTGACAAGAGCACACTTGTGCTGGATCCACGCCACGGAGCTTGACAGTCTCTCTCACCCTTTCCTGCAAAGTGTCCATCGCCACCAGGGAGCCCCTGTGGGAAATGCAACGATCCTGACCAACGTCCCAGGCCTCTTCAGTAGCAGAGAAGAAGTAGCACCGGCCTCCGCTCCTGACCCAGCCTTGGGGGCACGAATGGCTCAAAGCAGCCTGCAAACGGTGGCGCTTGACTGTTGGGGGAAAGACAGGAAGAAAAGCTATGAGTCCCATTCAGCATCTCCACCTGCAGTTTTGGGGAAAACGGTGACAATTTCCCACAGGCTCAGCCAGACGATAGCAGCAGACCGACAGGGTATGGAAAGATTCAAAAGAGCCTCTTTGGTCAGTCCAGTCCCTGCAACCAAACCACAATCCCTGACCTGCAAACAAAGTTGCAGGATCTTCTGGGAGACTGGATCGCCACCAACCGAGCACTCTAGCTTCGATCTCAAATGTCTCTGGCCACTTCCCACACTGTCATTTTTCTCACTCATTTCTCCCTATCGCTTTGGGTCCCCCCCCCTTCCCACACTTGTTTTTGCTCCCTCTGGGACTACTAGAGAGAGCAAAACACATTGGGGGGGGGGGGAACCCTGAAGGCAACGGGGACAGTCGAGTGACAAAAACGACAGTGCGGAAGTGGTCCTCTGTCAACTCTTGCATTTATTAGGTCATCATATTTATGGTTTTCAGAATGTGTGTATTAATGGATTTCATATTTTACATTATATTGTCCTATTATATTGTTTTATACTGTTGTGCAAGCCCCCCTGAGCCGGCTTGGCCGGGAGGGTGGGGTAAAAATCTAAAAAATAAATAAATAGATTTATGTGCTAATTTGCTACCATCCATTGATCTCACCGGTCACTGGTTTTGCATTTTGGCTATGACTGGCTCTCCCTAACAGCTACCTCCCCCACCCTCTTTTCCCCCTGTAAGCGGGACATGAAGAGATTTTATTCCCATGTGTCTGAAGAAGCGTGCGTGCTCACAAAAGCTTCCACCCAGAATTAAACTCTGTTGGTCTTCAAGGTGCCACTGGACCCAAACTTTGTTCTGTGGCTTCAGACCAACACGGCGACCCCCCCCCTGAATTTAGGCCCTCCTGTTATGCTCTAAGGTTCTGCTTCCAGACAGGTAGAAGGATTCGACTCAATTGGAGACATCCCCTTAACATATGATGACTGGTTGCCCGTTAGTAGATTTATAGTGTTCTAAATTTCTGGAGTCTTTTTGACGATATCTACCTCGGAACTTTATGAATTCTTGTCTTATGGAATATTATAATCAGTCTCTACAGAGGAAGACTTTCGAAACGAAGTCTTCGTTACCTGTATTGCACTTACCCGTGGGATTACTGAATTTACCTGTAGAACTTTTCCTTTGAATCGCTGACCTATATTGAATTTACCTGTTTGATTATTGAATGTACCTGTTGCTCTTTATTGCTGAACCTATATTGAGCTTACCTGTTGGATTACTGAATTTACCTGCTAATGATCTATATTGTACTAGCCTGTGGGTTTTCTGAGTTTACTTGTTAATTTAGTTTTCTGCATTGTCTTTATCTCTAGTAAATTAATATATAATCTGTACTGTATAATATTAACTTTTGCCTTGAGTCAGTCTCCATTTCCTGGTCCTTTCATTTGTGGGTTCCCAGTCTGAGCAGAGAGGCCACGGGGATGGTGGAGGAGGCCAGGTGAGAGAGGGAAGGTGTGGAGCCACGGGGCTGGCAGACTTTCACGCTGGGGCCGATCGTGATGGAGGAAATCTGGGTTCTGTGAAGGGCTTGGGGTCCAGAGAGGGGGCGGGCAGGGCAGCATCAGGGTGGGAGTTGGAGGGCAACAGGGAGGGGCTTAAGAACTCACCAGCCAGATAAATATTGAGAGCCACGGAGATCAGCAACAGCACGGCCAAAGTCACAAGGATGGCAATGTCTTTTGTGGTGACCTTGGTCTCCTGCCCATCAGCTAAAAGAGACAGAGACACAAAACAGATCACTTCCTGCCGCTCTCTGTCTGAGCTTTCATTGCTGATGTTCTCACAGACAGAAAAATTGGAAGGTTCCACAACTTGAGCTGCCTACTGCAGCCGGACAGACAGATCAGCAGCAGTGCTCCTACTAAGCTGTGGAGTCTTGTGAGCAGAAATTCTACGTTGTGAGCTGCTGGCATTAAAGGTGTGAGCAAGCGATTGGGCTGCTGCATAAATTGGTTGGCTCTGGAGCCCTCCTTCCTGAGCTGAGGCAAAAATGCGTGAGCCAGAGGCTAAAAAACTGTGAGCTAGCTCACACTCACTCAGCTTAGGGGGAACAACAGGGATATTTGATCACAGAACAGAAATTCATAGAAATGAAAACAGAGATGGGGGTCTTTGACTTGGCTGTTGGGATCCACAACCATCTCCCCTTGTTTTCTGCTCAAGATTATGAAGCTACGGTTTACTGAATCAGAACCTCAGGAAATCAAGGTCACTCTTGTCTACTCAGACTGGCAGCCGCTCTTCAGGAGCCTCAGGCCCAGGTCTCTGACATCACCCACTGCCTGGTCCTCGTAACTGGAGATGCCGGGGATTGAACTTGAAACCTTCTGCATGCCAAGCAGACGCTCTGCCACTGAGCCATGCCTCATCCCCCCAGAGGTTTGTGAATCTGAGGTTGGAAACCAGCAACAGGCACTTACCTAGGCTTTGCACCGCTCTCTTGCACCGACGAAGGAGCCCTTTCAAGGACCACTTACGTTGCGCTTATAAAACAGAAAGTAAACAAGACACCAAACGGAAACTGTTAATGGAAAAGAAAGAAGTACAGCAGCCCATAACAGTCCACAAATATGATCGAGGAGATCGGGCACATTATTCCTTTGTCTACACCCAGAAATGGATCAACCATACAAGGGTCCTCCTGCAGTCCTGCAAGCCCCCCTCGGGGAGTGGAATCTCTGAAACCTCCCCCCCCTCCGGAAACTCTCTTTGTACTGTCCTGGTATTCTCTTTACCATTTAATTCAAACTGGCCTATTTAAGAGAGTTCTCCTTGTGACCGGCTGCTTTGGTTTGCACCTTCCTAGCACCACAGAGTTAAAATGTAATTTTCTTTTGCCTTGCTTTAATTTAACTATGCAAGGGATGGCTTGCATATTTTGAACAGAAAAGCAGTTTATACATCAGATTTAATAATTGTTAATTCAGGTTTCTATATGTGGAAAGATAAAATGACATACAGATTTCCTTACAGTTTGGTGTGGTGGTTAAGTGCGCGGACTCTAAACTGGGAGAACTGGGTTTGATTCCCCACTCCTCCACTTGCACCTGCTGGATGACCTTGGGCAAGCCATAGTTCTGATAAGAGCTGTTCTTGAAAAAGAGCCTTTTCTGTCAAGAGCTCTCTCAGCCCCACCTACCTCACAGGGTGTCTGTTGTGGGGAGGGGAAGGGAAAGGAGGCTGTAAGCCGCTCTGAGACACCTTTGGGTAGTGAAGGGCGGCGTATAAATCCAATCCCTTCTTCTACAACCACATCTACAAAGTCCTCAGAAGGAAGGCTGCTGAGGGGACCCCCACCATCTCACTACTAAAATGTCTGAAGTGATCTATCAGAGAGCCCTGACATAGATAGCACAAGCTAGCCTGATCTTGTCAAATCTTGGAAGCTAAGCAGAGTCGGCCCCAGCTAGCATTTGGATGGGATACCTCGAAGTCCAGGGTCATGACACAGAAGCAAGCAACGGCAAACCGTATCTGAACACCACCTGCCTTGGGGGTTGCCAAAAATCAGCTGTGACTTGACAGCAAAAAAAAAAAATCCCTGACACAGTTTGCTGTCTATCAGAACATTTTATTTCTCTGCAAAATGTTGCCAAGCAGTTATACACACACACATACATAGACCTTTTTAGGCATAACACAACAGCAAAGAGAACAATGAAACAAATAGAAAATAAATAGCACGAAGTAATAGATTATAACAATTTACACCATGCTGCACCAACAAGAAATCGTCTTTATAAACTTCTCGGAAATAACAGACTCAGTTGAGAATATAGCAATTCTTAACAAGGGGGTTAAGGCTTGTATGCCCCTACCCTAAGCTTCCAAACATAGGCTAAGAATTCGGCAACAGACAAAGTAATTGCCAGGGACTTATCAGACAATAAAATTTTAAGATCATTGTCAGTCGGGTTCCTTGTGGTAGGTAAGTGGGGACTAATCAGATAGCTACGCATAGTAGAATATTGACGACGTAGAAGGACATGAGCAACTGAATCAGGTTCACTATAGAGACAATTGCAGGTTCTGTCCCTATAGGGGATACCCCTATATCTGCCTAATACAACAGCTGAGGGGAAAAGATTGAAGCTTGCTAGCATAAATACCCGCCGATAAAGTAGGATTGTTAGATTAGAGATGCACAGAGCCATAGAGGCTTAGGGAGGGGGGGAGAAAGGTCAAGGGAGCATGGAGAACAGACTCCATAGCTCCCACCATTAATTGTTTGGGCTTCCATATCCCAAATCCTCCTCCGTACCACCAAGCAGTTATACATGGAAGCCTCTGCTTTAAGAAGGCCCTTCTGCACCCTCGTAATACAGAAACCTTTGTGTCATTAACCCTGGCAAGAAACAAAAGTTCTGAGCAATGAAGTTTCTTACAAGCGCATCACAAAATGCTCTCCACGGATACTGGGTGGGGAGGACCCGGCACCAAGATCTCAGCCCCACAGTGCAGCGAGGAAATCTGCTTACCACGGAAGTCTCTCGTCTCTGAGCATCCACTGAGGAGCAGTATCGCTGGACCAGAAGCCGAATTCCTGGGTCCGTTTCCTAGGTTTCCTTCAAGCGGATTCCGAGATCCCTTCATTTGTTTGCACTCAGATGACGCCTCTGTAAACCCAGGAGAACAATAATGGCACTGACAAGGTCCATAAAGCACCCAGAACACCTCTCTGCCGTTCAGAAGTTACTACATAAACTCACTTTATTTAATGCAATAATGAAAAATCTATTTTTGAGGGGTATAGCAGAACCAGCCCTGTCTGTAGCAACTCAGGAGGAAACACTGTTCAGGGACTGCCTTGCTCATTACAGCTTTTCATAACTGGGCATGGAAATGGCAGCTAAAGAGGAGATCCCTATAAAAGGAAATAACCATGCTGACAGGAAGCAGTGAGGGTGGCTTAGTCAGTGGGAAAACATCTGTGTGGGAGCTAAAAAGAGATCTGCGATTATGAACAATGAACAGTAATCAGGAGGAGGAGGAGATTGGATTTATACCCCGCCCTTCACTACCCAAAGGACTCGCAGAGCGGCTTACAATCTCCTCCTACAATTGCAAAATCGCCTGACTCTCCCTGGTCCAAAAGACGCCAGATTGGCCGCTACCAGACACACACACAGACACATATATAAAGCAGTGATATTAAAAGGGGACCACCCCATCGCTTTCAAGATTTTGGGAACCTTTATTCACTTCCACACATCTCCAGTGTTTCCATTCAGCTTATATTTATCATTTTAGAGGAAGCTTTCAAACTGTGTCAGGGATTTTTATGAGCATAAACTGCGAAAAAGGGAATTTCACTTCCTGGGCTGTGCCTTTTCCTCCTCCAGGGGCTGGCCGGAAGCTTCTTGGGAGCCGGCCACGAGGACCTGAAGCCAGTAGCCCTCCTGCCATGCTTGGAACTCAGAGACCGGCTGCTCGTGCACAGGGGGGCTCCATTCTCCTCGGTCCAGAGCCACGGACAGATCTCCCCTCTCTCTGCGAGTCGGTGCCACCCCCTTGTAAGGACGTCCCAGAACAAGGAGAGCCACACGTGGCGAAAAGGGGGGGCTTCCTTTTGTGCGTCCTGCGTCGACAGCCCCTCGACTCCCGGGTCGTCTTCGCCCCATGGGGAGGCTGGCTCCCCACCTCTTCCCGCCACCCCCGTCCAGGCAGTTGCCTCACCTTGTCTCGGGCCGTTCCGCGGATCGCCCTGCAGCCGAGCCCGGAGAAGAGAAAGAGAAAGAGGAGCCGAGTTCGTACCACGTCCCCACTTCCCATTGGCTCGGGACGCGCAGGCTGAAGCCAATCAGGAAGCCAGGGCGCTCCTAGCCGAGGGGCAGGGGGCGTGGCTCATTGGGGGGGGGGCTCCGCTTGGTCTCGGGCCCCTTGACCTGGGCTTGCCAACCTCCTGGGGGGCGACTGAAGATCTCCTGGGATTGCAACGACTCTCCGGGTGGTAAGAGGTCCGCTCACCTGGAGGAAATGGTGGCCTTGGAAGGTGGTCTGGATGGCATTGCAGGCAGCCCACTGGAGTCCCTCCCCTCCCTCTCATCAGGCTCAACCCCCCCCCCCCCCCCGCTTCTCCCCCCGCG